TCTATTCCTGTACTTGAGGTAGGAGAGCAAGTCACAATCCCTTGATATGTTCATAAGTTTTTGGAGTATGCCTTTATGTGACAAGAGACTTACTAGTACAATGTTCATCACCCTCTTTCCTTGATACTCCCATTTCCCTAGTTTTTAAGGACATCACTTTCTTCTTATTCTCCTGTCTGACTGTGCCTTCTCAATCTCCTTACCTGATCTTTGTCCAGGTCATACCCACTAACCATAGGTCCTACTGTCCTGGGCCCTCTGTTCTTCTCTCTCTATAGTGTTTAATGATTTCATCAGCTCCCATAGATTTAATTGTCATCTATGTGGTGATGATTCTCAGTTTTACTTACCTGTTTCTAATCTCTTCACTGATCTCTAGTCTCTTATCTCCATTGCCTTTGGGACATCTTGAGCTACATGTCCAATAGACATTTTAAACTTAACATATCCCAAACTGAACTTACCTTTCTCTCTAAACCCTCCCTCCTCTTAACTTCTCTATTACTATCTAGGGTGCCAACACCCTCCAATTCCCTCAGACTCACAACCTAGGTGTCATCCTCAACTCCTCACTGTCTTTCACCCCTATATCCAATCTGTTGCAAGGGCCTGTTGATATCACCTTTGCAGCATGTCATGATGGTGCATCTTCTTTCCTCTGATACTGCCACCACTCCATAGCAGGCCCTCATCTCTTCATGTCTGGACTTTTGCAATAGCATGCCTGCACTACTGTAACTTCCTGCCACAAGTTTCCACTCCAGTTTATCATTTATTCATCTGCCAAAGTTATTTTCCTAAAGTGCTGATCTGACCATGTCACTTTCCTCCTGCTCAAACTTTAATGGCATCTTTTACCTCCAGGATAAAATATAAAATCTGTTTGACATTTAAGACTCTTCATTACCTCTCTCTCCCTCCACTTCCACATAGTATACAAGAGAAATCCCACAGTCAAAGACTTATTATTTGGATCAAGAACAATGGGAAGAACTTGCTGTATGAGCAGAACAGAGCACTGAATAATGTAATCTGGTATCATCCATATATAAGCAAACCCTACTTTTCATCGTGATGCCCTTTTGGTAACTAAGCAACAAAGCAGATTATCCTAAAGTAAAATGTATTTTCCCTTAAATATGATACTGTTTGGGGTGATGTTCCTGACCCTCTAGAGTCTCATTATAAAAAAAATTATTAATAAAAGGTATACTATCCTATAACCATGTAACATATTTTTTGTTTCTTCTAGATTTTTATTTCTTTTTTATTTATTTAACATTTTCCCAGTGACATGTAAAAACAATTTTTAACATTTGTTTGTAAAATTTTTTGAGTTCCAAATTCTTTCTATCTCTCTGTACCCCTGTCATTGAGAAGGCAAGCAGTTTGATACAGGTTAAACACGTGTACTTATGCAAAACATTTCCATATTAGTCATGTTGTGAAAGAAAACAAAATGTCCCCATGCCTGAAATTTATTTTAAAGTTTTCAAAAAAAATGTGCTCAATCAGCATTCAGACTCCATCAGTTCTTTCTCTGGAGATGGATAGCATTTTTCCTCATAAGTCCTTCGGAATTGTCTTGGATCATTATTTTCATCAGAATAGCTGAGTCATTCACAGTTGACCATCCTGCAATATTGCTATTTCTGTGTACAATGTTCTTCTGGTTCTGCTTTTTTCACTTTGCATCAGTTCTTCTGGTTCTGCTTTTTTCACTTTGCATCAGTTCACTTTGCATAACTCTTTCTGAAATCTGCCTGCTCATCATTTGTCACATGATAGTATTCCATCACAATTATATACCACAGTTTGTTCAGGTGTTCCTCAGTTAATGGTCATCCCCTCAATTTCCAATTCTTGCCACCACAAAAAGAGCTGCTATAACTACTTTTGTACATGTGAGTCCTCCTTTTTTCTGTTTTTATCTCTTTGGGATACAGACTTAGTAGTGGTATTGCTGGGTCAAAGTGTATGCATGGTTTATATAGCCCTTTGAGTATAGTTCCAAATTGTTCTCCAGAATGGTTGGATCACTTTGCAGCTCCACCAACAGTGCATTAGTGTTTCAGTTTTCCCACATTCCCTCCAACATTTGTCATTTTCTTTTTCTGTCTTATTAGCCAATCTGATAGGTGTAGGGTGGTACCTCAGAGTTGTTTTAATTTGTATTTCTTTAATCAGTAGTGATTTAGAGCATTTTTTCATTTGACTATAGACAGCTTTGATTCCTTTTTCTGAAAACTGCCTGTTCATATCCTTTGGCCATTTGTTATTTGGGGAATGGCTAGGTTCTCTATATGTTTGAGAAATGAGGTCTTTATCAGAGAAACTTGCTGTAAACTTTTTTTCACAGTTATGGTTATTAACTATTTGTCTTCATCCTATTTTCTACATTTTCCTACTTTCTCTCCTTTCCCCCTGTCCATCCTCAGAGTGTTTTGCTACTGACTACCACCTTCCCCAATCTGCCCTTCTTTCTATCATCCTAACTCCTTTTTTCATCCTCTTCCCCTCCTACTTTCCTGTTTGGTAAGACAGATTTCTATACCCAACTGAGTGAGTATGTTATTCCCTCTTTGTGCCAATTCCAGTGAGGGTAAGGTTCATGTACTTCCCTCCCCACCCCCTTCCTACCTTTCCTACGTTCCCCTCCCACTATTAAAGCTCTTTTGTGCCTCTTTTATATCAGATCATTTACCCCATTCTACCTCTCCCTTTCTCTTTCTCCTAATGCATTCTTTTCTCACCCCTTAATTTTATTTTTTTAGATAATCATCCTATCATATTCAACTCCTACCCAATCCCTCTGTCTTGTATACTCCTTCTGACTGCCCTAATAATGAAAAAGTTTTTAGAAGTCACAAGTATTATCTTCCCATGTAGGAATGTATACAATTTAGTCTTATTTAATCCCTTATGATTTCTCTTTCCTTTGTACCTTTTTATGCTTCTCTTGAGTCTTGTATTTGAAAGTCAGATTTTCTATTCTGTTCTGGCTTTTTCATCAGAAGTGTTTGAAAGTCCTCTGATTCATTGAATATTCATTTTTTTTTTCTCCTGAAAGATTATACTGTTTTGTTGGTTAGGTAATTCTTGGTTGTAATCCCAGCTTCTTTGTCCTCTGGAACATCATATTCCAGTACCTTTGATCCTTTAATATAGAAGCTGCTAAATCTTGTGTTATCCTGACTGTGTCTGCATGATATTTAAATTGTTTCTTTTTGGCTGCTTGCAGTATTTTTTCCTTGATCTGGGAGGTCTGGAATTTAGCTATAATATTCCTGGCAGTTTTCGTTTTGGGATCTCTTTCAGGAGGTCATAGGTAGATTCTTTCAATTTCTATTTTACCCTCTGGTTTAGAATATCACAGCACTTTTCCATGATAATTTCTTGAAAGGTGATGTCTAAGCTTTTTTTTTTTTTAATCTTATCATGACTTTCAGGTACTCTAATAATTCTTAAGTTATCTCTCCTGGATCTCTTTTCTAGGTCAGTTGTTTTTCTAATGAGATATTTCACATTTTCTTCTATTTTTTTCCCCATTCTTTTGACTTTGATTGTTTCTTGATGTCTCATAAAATCGTTAGTTTTCACTCATCCCCTTCAAACTTTTAAGGAATTATTTTCTTCAGTGAGCTTTTGTCCCTCCTTTTCCATTTGGCCAATTCTTTGTAAGGAGTTCTTCTCATCAGTGAATTTTTGTTTATGTTTTTGTATTTGGCCAATTCTGCTTTTCAAGGCATTCTTTTCTTCATTGGAGATTTGTATCTCTTTTACCATTTGGCCTGTTCTGTTTTTTAAGGTGTTATTTTCTTCAATATTTTGACTCCTTTATCAAGCTGTTGACTCTTTTTTGATGATTTTCTTGCATCACTCTCATTTCTCTTCCCAATTTTACCCCTGCCTCTTTTGATTTTTAAAATCCTTTTTGAGTTCTTCCATTGCCTGAGACCAATTCATATTTTTCTTTAAGTCTTTGGATGTGGGAATTTTGACTGTTGTCTTCTCTTGAGTGTGTGTTTTGATCTTCCTTATTATGATAGTAACTTTCTATAGTCAGAATTTTTTCTATTGTTTGCTCATTGTCCAGCCTATTTCTTGACTTTTAACTTTGTGCAGTGGGGCTCTGCTTCTCAAGTGGAGGGGACCCTTTCCCAACCTTCAGGTTTTTTGTGCAGCTGTTTGCAGAGGTAATTCTGGGGACCTGTAAGTTTTTGACTCTTCCAAGATATTATGATCTAGGGAGAGGTGTGTTTACTGCTCTCTTCTACTGTGTACTGGTTTGTGAGTAACCACAGTCTCTCTTTTCAACCCTGGAATTGTGACCAGGGTCCCTGCTTTCCTGTGGCCAAGCTCTGCTGTATTAGTGCTTTTCCTTGAACCTGGGACGAAGACGCAGGACTGTGACCCAGACCCAAGTGTAGGCAATGCAACAGAATCATGCCCTTGGTGTCAGCAAAGTAAATCTTTTGACCCATTGTCTGATCCCCTTACCATATGTGGGCTGAGAGGTCTGGAAACTGTCCCTGCTGTCACTGAGTCCTGCTTCTGGTTTGCTGTGGCCTGGTCTGTGCTGGCATGGCCAGAGTTGGACTGTGCTCCTCTCTCCTCCTGGTGTAGCAGACTTTTCCTGCCAACATTGTAAGTTACCTTGGCTGGAAAATTGTTTCACTCTTTCTTTTTGTCGGTTCTGCTGCTCTAGTATTTGTTTAGAGTCATCATTTAAAGGTATTTGGAGAGATTTGGGGCAGAGCTTAGATGATGAGCCCCTGCCTTTACTTCACCATCTTGGCTCTGCTGCTTCCATTCCCCCCCCCCCCCCCCCCTTTATCTGTTTTAAAATCCCTCTCTAACTCTTGAAGATAGTGGGATTCTGAAAGCTTCTTTAATATTTTTGACATACTATACAACTTCAAGATATATAGATACACTTTTCTTGTTATAAGAATTGATACTGAATCCTTAAATTTAATTTTGTTATTTCTTATATTTAGTACCTGATTCTCAAGCTTGAAAGGCCTGCTATAGTCCAGAGTATCACATTTGGAAAATATGAGAAGACTCATGTCTGTAATTTAAAGAAGTTTAAAGTCTTTGGTGGAATGAATGAAGAAAATATGACAGAGTTGTTATCCAGGTGAGTTGTAATTTGGGGAAGTAAACAGTTGACTTATAAACAGTGCAATTGACATAGGACTTTTTTTTAAATAGCTATGATTGCTCATGATAGAACTTTTTTTTCCCTCAAATTGATATATAGAATGTTACTTAGTAGTAGCTTAAAATTAATCTTTTTAAAAAATAAATTTAGATGATATATATACCATAACCAGAGTTATTTTTTTCTTTTTCTACTTTTGCTCTTTCTCCTTTCTCTTATAAATTTCAAGTAGTCATTACTAAATAAAGCAGACTGTATCATAGTAATGATATGGTACATTGAGCGTTGTCCCAGAATTGGAAGTTACAGTAAGTGCTAATATTTTCAATCTAATGTTAGTATGAGGGAAATCATATGAATTTGGGCTAACGAACAGGAACAAGAATTAAGATGGATGGATTTAGATTTCTTTTTCCTCATTCTCTTCCAAGACCCCAATGAATTAGTGACAATTAATAGCCATTTGAATTTACATAAATGATTGTGGAAATTAAAGACCACCCTTGAACCTTGGCACTAATCTTATATTTAATAAATATAAAATGTTCCATTCTGATGTGAGTAGAAATTTGTGTGATATCCCCATTGTTAACTATTTTAACATCAGTTGTGTTAAGATGACAAGTCAGTTGTATGAGTAATTATTTGGACTTAGGAAGAAAAAATGGATATTATTGGAATGACTGCAACCAAGGGGTAATAGATCTTCTTTGAAAATGAGTCAAATTGAGAAAGAAGTGAAGAATAATTAGGCTTAAATAATTTATTTTTGTGTGAAATACTTAACATTAAGCTCTGTTATAGAATATATTTTTTATCAGATAGATAAATGGGATACGTTTCCCACTTTTTCCTTAGTAACTGATAGTATCTTCCTGTGTGTCATATATTTTTTAAGCTTATGAAATATGATTTTTAAGAGATCAGGCTGCATACATAAAGGCAGTTGAACCTAAGGTGCACATATTTATTTGAATGTTAAATTTGCATTCTTAAGCTCACAATAAACTGATGGCATTTCAAACTTTTATATAATTTATCCATTTGTCAGCAGTAGTTGCTTTGTTTCATATGATACTAAATCGAATTTTGCCATAGTCACAGCCCAATTAGAAATTATGATAATACATCATAGAAACCTGAGAAACTAAAAAATGTTTTTAAAAATCATCATACACTTGGCTGAATGGGTTCACATAGATTTCACTCATATTATTAAATGGGGGAGAAGGAGGCATAGAGATGTTAAGTTGTTTGCCCATTGTCATACTGGGTCAGTAACAAAGCTGGGTATAGAATTAGGAGTCTTGAGTTATAGTCCCATGTTTTAACAACTAGTCCCATACTGCCTCTAGCACTTATTAAAAATTAATATAGTAAATCTAGCATCATAATACCTTTTCCTTTATTGTGTTTAGTAGTGTTGAGCAATGAAGTCAGATTTGGTAACCTTATTTATTTTTTCTCACAGTGGCTTAAAGAATGATTATAACAAAGAAACATTCACCTTGAAGCATAAAATCGATGAACAGATGTTCCCATGTCGATTCATTAAAATAGGTAATTTTTTTTAGCATTCTGGGATAAAATTAAATTCTCTTTATGCTATTTCCCATATTGAAACTGACAAATTTTGTTTTATTCAAATAGAACCTTCCTTCATATAGCTTTCTTATTTGAAAGTTTCATATAAGATCACTTGAGCTGTAGTGATTTAGTAATGCTGATCTTGAGCTGTAAAATTGAACATTTCTAACAAAAGTAAGGGTATCGTATCTGAACTCAAATGCTAGTGACTGCGTGAAGGCCCATATAAGTATTTACCAGCTCTTTTTGGTGCAGAAATATTGGATTAAAATTAGATCCATTTTTAGAATATTTTCTACTAATTTGAGATTGGCAGGAAAGTTGAGTACCATTGTTATAATTCTCTGAATGTTTTTTGTTGTTAAAATGAGATGATGGCTAATCAGATTCCTCCCAAATAAAAATAAAGTAATTTTGTGGAGGGGGCAATAATTTTATCTGTCAGAGATTTTTTATATAGTTGCTATTCTTTCCTACTAAAGAATTTCACTTTTATAGTGAGTGAAAAGACATTTTTTTTAAAAAAGGAATATATGAGAAATTTCTCAAGACCACATATATGAGGGGGAACAGCACTCACAGCAACCCCTCATTTGTTTTAATTTTTCTTCTGTGATTAGCTTAGACCCATATATGAATTAGAAAAAACTTTCTTCTGGGGCAGTGTTTTTCATTTGCATCCCTAGCCATTATGCTAATGGTGAGGCAGTGTGGTGTAGTGAAAGGAGCAATGGACACAGAGTCAGAAAATCTCAGTTCAAGTCCTGAGTCAGCTGCTTACTGATTGTATGACTTTGGGCAAGTCATTTAACTGCTCTGACCTGTTACATGGGAGCAATTGCACCACTGACCTCACAGGATTAAGATGAGAAAGATGCTTTGTGAATCATTGCTACTTATGTAAAGGGGATTTATTGCTAGACTAAGTAGTCATAATTTTTAACATATTTTGCAATTTATTCATTGTATTATTTATTAATATAATTTGATGTTATAATAAATAGTAGTAGTTGCCAAGAGCCATATTTTAGCTCTGTATTAGGAAGATCTTCCCAACAATTGTAGATGTTAAAAAACGGGATGAATTTCCTAGGTAGGTAAGGAGCTTCCTGTTACTGAAGTGAGAAGCTGGACACTACTTAACAGAATTATTTCAGAGAATTTATGTGTCAGGTGAGAGTTGGACTGCATAGCTTCTGAGTCCCTGTCCAGCTCAAAGGTTCAGTGAGTCTGGGAAATTAAACCTATGCTGCTTGTTAACAAGTAGGATATATTTGACAACAAGTTGTGGTATATTTACAGTGCCTTCTGAAACTTATTTTCCCCCAGATGTATTTCCTTAATATAGAGAAGAATTTTTCCATGTCATAGGATACTGTGGACATGTTTCCTTCATTGTGTTGATAAACCTGTTGACTAAGAATAATAGCTTCAAAGACTTAAGGACAGAAAAATTATAATTCTTCTAAAGAATTATAATCCATGAACAGTATTGAAATATTAATATATTTGTACTATTGTCTTTTCATTATGATTACTTTTCTACTTGAGTTGTTTCTGACCCTATTTCCCTCTTCCCACTTATTAATAGGTAGCTACCCCAATTTAGTTAGAAGGCAACTGCTTCTGAACAGCAAGGTTTGTTTAACTCCTAGATTATAGTTCTAGTCTTAAGTTTAAATGTTCAGCTAATTTTTTTGAATTTTGTAGTGCTCCTTTGTGTTTTACATAACTTTAGTGGTTTTATGTTGCATCCTTTTTATGACTTAAGATCTCTTTGAATATTTGCTTTTATATTAAGTATATTTTGTTACTCATTGTTTTAGACTTTGCAGATTCTTCCTCATTTTTCTACCTCATTTTGAAGAGAAGGATGATTAAAACAAAACATAGATTGTCAAAGGCATTTACTTAGTTTCTTTCTTGAAAAATTTCAGGAAGAGAAGAGTTATCTTTGTGTTTTGGATTGATTAACTAAAGAGTATTTTATTGACTTAGCATTTTGTGCACAATGACGTGTTGTCCTGGTACAATATTTAAAAGAATAGTAAGGGACCAGGAACCAGTAAGACAATCAGAATGAATACAAGGTTGATCCTTTTGATGCATATGCAAGTTATGCTTCCAACTTTCTAGGTGAATTCTGTATTGGTCCGCTTTTCTTTCCTACCTTTGTATAATAATCGTTTCATAATGTGAGGTGGGGTGTTAGGGTTATTTTTTAAAGGTTTTTTTTTTTTAACCCTCTAATGATCTGAAACTGACAGCATGTGAGCCACAAATGACATTTTGTTTTTAAGCTAGTGCTTTTGCTGAATATTCTATCTTCGGTTTCTTTAATCATTTTGATCAGGTATTTTGTATCTTCCACTTTTTAAGGTCTATCAGCTTGCTGTTGCAGCAAAGTGGCAATGCAGTGAGCCTGAGTGGTAGTGTACATTTTGGGGATGAATAGTTAAAATGTTTCTGACAACAAAAAAGAATTGCTGGAATGCTTTTCTTTCTTAAACTACTGTGCTGTTTTTTGAATGTTGTAGTTCAGCTTAAAATAAGCCTGTCCCAAGAAACACAGTTTCTAAATATGAGCAGCTCTCCTGCAGGGGACTTAGTGACATGTAATGTCTCAAATCATTCATATTTGGCTTTGGAATGTGGTGATTCTTTTAGTTGTATATTTATTCTTGTGTAAGTTTTATTATTATACTAATGCTTTCCAAATTAAAATAAGTTTATATACCAGCTTACTGTACAGAGGGATAAGGGACCTCATGTTTTCTGAGGGATAGGAAAAAGCTTTTGGGTACCTAAAAACATCCTGAGGATGATCATTATGATAAGAGTACACTCATATATAGATAGTCCTTTAAGTTTTTCACAACACTTTCAGCAACCTGTGAGGTAGCTGGTATAAGAATTATTATTCCTGTTTTACAGCTCTTGTCTGGTAGCACAGTAGCTCTTGGACTTGGATCCAGTTTTTATGACCTCAAGTCCAGTATTCGATATGCTCAACAGAATCATACAGAGCTGCCAGCATGGGGAAACCTGTGTTATGATAAGGAGCATTGTTGTTAATTTCTCTGTAAAACAGAATAATACATTAAGTGGCTGGAAATAGTTGCAGATGATTCCTTGAAGTCCCTTCTGGTTCTAAGATCTGAGTCTATGCTAAACTAAATCATCTTTTGGGTTTTGTTTAGATTGCATTTGTTAACATTGGCTTATTCTATTTTGAACATCTTTTGGCAATTGCAAATTTATTTGCCCAAGTTTCTACCTGCATGAGTGTACCATATAAATCAGCAGCCCTACATCCCTTATAGTCCTTCATTTCATTTCACCAAGATTTTGATAATTCCCTACCACTTTATCAGTGATACTCAATGCTCTAGGGTAGACGTTCCTAATTTATCACTCCTGTTTGGCTTGATTGACCTTGGACAGAAGAGCTGTGAGCAGGTGCTCCTACCTAAGGGGCTTAATCTTTAGCACCTATATCAGCAAATTTTGAGGCTTTGAAAAACTAAATGGTAACCTTTCTCTGCAAAAATGGAGACCTTTCATATAGGAGATATAAAATAATTATTTTGAAGTTTATAGTTACAGAAAGATAGAGGTGAAATGAATAGAGAACATTTCAAGGCTTGTGGTCCTCTTTGCTGTACCCAAAACGGTTTTTTAACTATTCAAATTTTGCTATACTTTTTATTTTAAATATTTATTAGTTCCAAGGAGAGAACCTTTAATCACTAATGCTTGCAAAATTATGAAACTGGGACTTCTTAGATTGAGAATTTCTTTTCATTAGTAGTGCAGGAATCTTATAGTTTAGGTTTAATGAGTGGATTAATAATTTAGTCATATTTTATGTACTAAAATGATTTGTGGTGGTTTTATATGTTGATGAAGTCAGCTTTTTGTTCCTTATCCTTATAGGAAAGGATATCTTTTTAGATTACACGAGAAATTCTTTTATGAGAAGATGGAGGGAATGTCTTTATATAGATTTTTATAAATATATTTTGTGGAAAATTGATGGTTTCTAATATCCTCTTTTTTATCCTTTGAATGGATCAATTCAAGAGGAACAGCACAAATTTTCCTCAAACCTTTCTTTTTTGCCTTCCTATAGGTAACATTATTGGCACGGGTGATATAATCTGTGATGATTTGACTAAGGCTCTATACAAGTCTAGCAAATGTTAGTTTTAAGTCATCTGTTTTGTGAGTAGTTTTTGTTCCTCATCAAAAATTGAGGATAATTTGGCAAATTTTTTTAACAGCTCTTATGTTTAGTAAAAGCACTGAATATTGAATCGGAAGACCTGGATTCAAATTCAAATTTGAATTATAATTATTATTGGTGGACATATTATTAGTAGGATGTCTGTAATACATAGAGTACATTTATTTTTTATAGATCATATATGCATGTGCTTAACTGTACTTTGCCTCAGATTGTTTTGTCACTATTCCAGGTCTGTGATTCTTGCTTTTTCAGACAGGCAATATGACAATGGGAAAGATTGCTGGCCACCTTGTGGTCAGGAAAGCTGAGCTCATTTCACATTTCTTATTGGCCTCATTCCTCTCCTTGGCGCCACGGTCATGGACAGATTACTGAGTCCCTCTGTAGTCTTCCGTTGCCACGTGTATAAATGTGGGTGATAATCTTGCACTCCCACTTCCCTACTTCCCTGTTTTATGGAAAGTACTTTGTAAATCTTAAAGCACTGTAGAAATGTAAGCTGTTTCGCTAAATTGTTGTAATAACCTTGAGCACACCAGTTGTGTCATAAACATCCAAAGCATCCAGCTGGGTGCTGGGCATAATAGTTTCTAAAGAAATACTTAAAAGAAAATGTATCATTAAATTCAGAAATAAGCACATGCAGTGAACTCATCAAAATTCTGTCAGTAAAATGTATACAGAAGATAAACTTGAAGAAATGAGGAGCACAATATGGTCACTG